TTTAATTTTATAAATACGTTTTGTTATATACGTTTAATTTTATAAATACGTTTTGTTATATACATTTAAGAATACACTTTATAAATACGTTTTGACTTTTTGCGTTGACCGGGCCAGGCCGGGCCGGGCCCATAACCGGTTTCGTAACCGGTTCCGGTCCAAGATTTTCTAAAAAACAATAACCGGTTCGTAACCGCCGGTCCATAACCGGTTACCACCAGTCCCGGTCGGTTACGGTCTTGAGCCGGGCTCGGTTTTGGGCCCCCGTCAGTTACGGGCCGGGCCGGTTACGTTTGGCCATCTCTACATCATGGTAAGTTTACAATATATTGATTTTAATATAATCTCTTTTTTGCAATGTATTTTTTATATAATCTAATTTTTACAATATATTACTCATTTTAACTTTAATATAATCTCGTTTTTACAATGTATTATTTCTAATATAATCTCATTTTTACAATGTATTATTTCTAAGAAAAGGTCCCCTTTCATGCATTTGAATAAGTTCGATTTGTTTGATAGTCATTCAACATTCAATGAAGTTCGAGAAATATCATCTTGATGTGTTTTATGGCAGCTCGATAGTCACTCGATGTACTTTAAAATTCAATATGCAATTAATTGATTTTTCAGTAATTGTCAAATAGCCATTTGATGAACATATAACATATGTCTACATTTTTCGATAAATGTCTTAAAAAACCATCTTCAACTTCTATAAAAAAAAATGCCCTGTCCTTAGAGGCAGGTTCCGTATGAAGTCGATCGAAGTTAATCAACTCTTTTTTTACGCAACTATGCAAAAATAATTGAATGCTTGTTGAACAGATTTATTTCAATACTTTTTGAGGAAATTTATCTTTAATCAACTGGGTCATCAACATTTTTAGTGACGTTTCAACTTAAACAATGGAACTCAAAGAGAAGACGATTGTGGGCAGACCTATTAATCTCCATGCGGGTCTTGTGCACCCGTTCAACTTTTTTTGTCACTTTTGTTGCGGTATGAAATGTGTACCAACTGAACTTCGAAAAATATTATAAGATATTAGAAAATACAAAATACATCAACCAAAAAAGTCTCTCAAAAGCAACCATAAAAAGTCCTTCGAGACCATCCAAAAAACCAAAAGAGTCCCTTAAGATTAACCAGAAAACTTTAAAATCTCCAGAAGTCAACCAATTTTTTTTTAAATCCATCGAAATAGTGAAATTAGGCTAAAACAAATCGGACAAATTTACGAGTTTTTGATCTACCTTAAAATTATATCCGTTCGATAAAAATATATCAGGTCCGTCACAGATGACAACCCATTTTTTACATTTATTTTAAAAAAAGTTACTGAACAATTACTGATTTTTACATTTATCAGAGAGTTGTTTGTTTATTTCTTAATAGTTCTATTAAGAGTCAACCTCTGACTCATTAAGAGATAAATCTTGTTTGCCAAAAAAAAATCTGTCTTTTAATGATTTTAAAACCCTCTGAATGATTTTGTATCATGAACCTCCTTTAACCATTAAGCGTCATAATTTTATTGTAAACAATAACCAAACAATTATATTTCATTTTGCACTATATCATGAGAGTCTTTTAATCATTGTGATCATTTAATTACTCTACATCAAACTATTCAGCAACCGTAAAAAAACTCCTAAAACTATAACCATTTCTGAAAGGAAATATAAATGTGTATTTATGTTAAATGTGAAAAAATAAAAGAAAATTGATGAAATATTACCAAACGTGGCCAACTGCGAAGCGTATGATTACATCCAAAGGTCAAAAAAGCGTGTCATCAACTCATGATGGGACGTGATTATGGTTGTTGACAAATTTGGTAAAAGGCAAGGTTCAGGGAATAAAAGTTGGTGATTGATTTGACTAAGTGTATGCCCCTATAAGATTTAATAAAATTCAATAAGTTATTATATTTTAAAATGTAAATTACATGAAAAGTATCGTACTTTAACTTGATTATTATTTTTTGTAACGTATTTTTAAAACTTTTATTTTGGTACTTAAGATGTAAAGTTTTAAACATTTAAGTATCCGGATAACCGGTTGAAGACTAATTTTATATCAAAAAAACTAATTTTATATCAAAAAAACTAATTTTATATTAAAAAAATCAATGTCACTAACCAAATAAGCAAATAATAATGAGTTGAATTTCACATCACCCTCCACATTAGCATGATAATCGGTTACCCGAGTACTAAAATGTTTAAAACTTTACATCTTATGTACCAAAATGAAAGTTTTGAAAGTATGTTACTCTAAATAGAAATCAAGTTAAAGTACGTTACTTTTTTGTTTGAATCTGAAAAAAAAATAATGGATAACGAAAATGTTATTTAATCATTTTTTATTGATTTATTGTATGTTGGTACAGATATGATACATTAGAGAAATAATATATTACTTTTGTTTTATAAGTAAAAGGACTTGGGCTGAAAATTGTCTAAGAACTTAATCGTTCAAAATATGAAAGTTTGTAGGGTTTTTTCGGTTTAAAAAATATTAATGATTTATATGTTTAGTTTCTGAAAGTTCAAGGATTTATCTGTTAAAAAATGTATAGAGACTTGATCGCTCAAAACGTGATACTTTATTGAGTTCTTTTAGATTTTTCTCATTGTTAAATGCACATATACTTAGGGGCCACTTACCTAAATACTTGCCCGGTAAACGCTTACCGTTAAAAATTAACACTATAATTTATTTTAACGGGTAAAATTGTGGTACATCAAAACATATTTTATGCAACAATTTACCTGTTAAGCGATTACCCGGTAAGCGTTTACCTGAGTAAGAGTCGTCATACTCACTTACTGGGTAAGACTCTTCATTCTTATCATCACTCTTATCGGGTAAGATTCTTGCCCCTTGTCATGTTCATCCGGTAAGGAAAATTGCCCAGTAAGTACTTACCGGGTAAGCGTTTAGTAAACAACCCCTTGTTAATTTGATGAGGTCTTTTTCAAACACATGATATAAAGACTTAATTTTTACGTTACACTGATTTTGATATAATTAGGTGTGGATATAACAACACCCATATTTATCATTAATATGTATATTTTTATCACAACAATACTTATAACTAATATTCATAATTATCAAGTCTTGTTCCACGTAAATAGTTGGTTTTCTGGATTCTCAATAAATTTTAAGGTTCTCACTTAAACCCGCCTTCGGGTACTTTGATTTTTCTTAGGGGTGTGCAGAAAATCAAACGATCTAATTGAACCCAACTGATCCAATTAGAACCAACCGACCATAATTGAATATTTGATTGTAATTGGATCGGGTCGGATTGAAAATTTCAACTTCCAATTTGAATCGGTCGATTCTCGGATGACAGTCTAGAACCGACCAAAACTGAACCAAACCAATCAACATCCAATTAATCATCCGATGACCATCCAGTTGTCCATCCAACCATCATCCAATTAATTTATTTTCAAATTGCTTAAATCGGAATTTGTTTTATGTGATGCTTTGAATATTTAACTCCCCTTGTGTTGTGTTTAACACATATTGAAAGTGATTAATCAATCTGTATCATTGTTAGATAATTAGATTGAAGTAACACACTGGATGAATCCAATACTAACAGATCATTCATTGGATATCCAATAAAGGTATCCAATGGATGAAACTGAACCAATCCAATCATCCACTTGATTGCATTGAATCAGTTATCCAATGTTAATTGGATCGGATTGGTTTGTAAATTCAACATCCAATGAATTATTGAATCGGTTCGGTTACTCTCACATTCAAATAACTCTCACATTCAAATAATATGTTACCTTTAAAAAAAAATACCAATTTTACAACATTTTGATGCTTACAAGACTCCTTCACCAACTCCCATCCCATTTATTTAATAACATGAAAACAATTTAATCATTAAAATTATATTTATTTAAAATAAAAAATAAAAAATAAAAAAAAAAGATGGTGACCAACTCTTTGCCACCATGGGAAGGAAAGTCTCCTGTCACTTCACCCAACCCACTTTCCTCCCTATAAAGCCTCACTTGCATTTCTCCTTTCATTTCAGGTTCACTTCTTCAAAACACAAGCTGGTTAATTAGTTGCAGGTCACCGGAGATCAATCACATGGCGGCRGTCAATGGCGGAAGTGAAAGTCAACCGGCAAAACACCAAGAAGTTGGCCACAAGAGTCTCCTTCAAAGTGATGAACTTTACCAGTATATTCTTGAAACCAGTGTGTATCCAAGAGAGCCTGCACCTATGAAAGAGCTACGTGAGGTCACTGCTAAACACCCTTGGTAAGTTACCTGATTATACATATACAGAGGAGTGATCAAATAAAAACCGTTCTCATTTGTGTAAACCGTGCAAACCACCTTCATCCATCGATTTCATTGTTTAATCTTATGAAATTTTTTCATGAAATTGTTTAATCTTGTGAAATTGTTTCATATAATACTTTTTTT